TATTTATGAGCAATGGGTGGGACCTAGAGGGAACCTGGAGTTCATCTCCTTGGATGGACGTTATTGAGCTAAGGCCTGAACTTTTCCCAAAAAGTCCCTTTCCGTCTTCTTGCCCCCGATTCAGACGACGGATCTGTGGGGTTGGCTTTGCCGGGGCAGTGAATTCAGCTGGGTGCCAGCCGTGCCAGGCCGCCCGCCAGGTGACAAGCCCAGGACGCGGGAGGCCCCTGCTGAGGAACCCGGGCGCTGGGACCGCCTCGGCTGGCCCCTGTTCCCGGTCCTCCCGGCCGCCAGGGGGCGCGCGGGCCGCTGCTCCCGCCCTCCCGCCCTTCCCTTCCCGGCTCCGGGCCCGCGGGCGTCGGCGGGAGCGCGATGGCGGCCGCCAGGAGGCTCATGGCGCTGGCTGCCGGCGTCTCTCCACGCCTGCGACCGCCGGGCCCCCGCGCTAGCGGGCGACAGGGACGCTCGCGCGGCCTCTCGTCAGGCTGCGCCCACCCCGATCGCACAAAGGAGGCCGCCGAGGCAGGGGTAGCCCCTAGCGGCCCCGGGGAAGGCGACGGAAGCATGGTGAACGGTGAGGGTCGGGGCGGCCACGCCGCGACGTCCTTGGCTGCCGGGGCTGGCAGAGCTGGGGGCGCGGGCCTGGGCCGGGCCTGGCGGGCCGGGGCCCCTCTCCGCTAGTGGCCGAGACCGCCGGCCGCTGGCGGGCCGCAGCGCTGCTGTTGTAAAGCTCAGTGTGGCACAGGCCCAAATGGACCCCGGGCGCGGAGGTTCGGGGACCGGAGCGCCTGCACCAGGCAAGAATAGGTGAGAGGCACGGGACCTCGAGGGCGTGGGGGACAACAGGAAAACATCCACCTGCTGCCCGAATGGGTGGTCAAGGGTTAGAGCATCAAGGGTAAGCACACCCTCACCAGTGTGGGAAAAGAGCCCAAACTACACTTGGTACTTCAGGATTTGAGGTAGAGACAGAGTGATTCCCAGCGTTGTGTCTCCTGAATAGCGCGGGGAATGAGACTGGTGAGAGCATCCCTGCCTATCAACGACGGATAGAGAGCCAACCTCCTCCGTTCCTGTAGAGCTGGAGGGGGGACCAGTGCACATCTGTTGTGCCTGGGGGTCTAGTGGGCTCCTTAACTTTGGGTCCCTCTGTGGGAAGCCCTTTGAGTCTACTTAAATACCAGTCTTAACTGCTTGAATCTCAGTTGCTTTGTAAGTTCTTTAGAGGGAGACAGAGTCAGGCAGAATCCTCCTTCTTGGCCAGTTGACACAGTCATCTGCTCCAGGGAAACAGTCTCAACCCAGGATTCGGGTTACATCAGGACTCCTGTGGGGAGCTTCGTCAAAATAGAGGCTTCCCCAACATCACCACCATTCTTACGTGCCTGTTGGGGGTCAGGGTGGCCATTGTGGTGAAAAATCTCCCTGGGTGATTTATGACTGATGCGTACAGGGGCATGTGTACAAAGTTTTTCTTTTTGGAGCTGGTTTAAAGCCAAATATAACACCAGAGACTGTGGGTGGAGAATGAAAAGGTTTCCCCATCTCCTCTGCCAGTCTCTGACCCTGCATCTCTTGAAGGGCCACTTTGGTGCTTTGGGGCCCTTACTTCTGTTTTTAGCTGCTCCCAGCAGGCTTCTTCAAGGCCTAGCTGAGCCTTGTGTCTGGCACAAGCTGCCTCTAGTTGGACGTCTCACCCATTTGTATTCTGGGATCAATTCAAAGTACAAGTGAAAAAAAGTGAGCTACTTCTCAGGGTGTCTGATGCATCCTGCCTCCACTTGATTCCACTTGAACTTGGGGAGGGAATAGCTTATTTCCTGTGTCTCAGCTGTGGAGATCCCTGATCAATGTCCCTACATATAATCTGGCTCTAAGAGGCCTTTTGCAGGATGTTGAGGTGCAATTGAGAGCTAGGGCCTGGTATTCAGACTTTGGGACCAACCCTCCCTTTTGTGTGTCGTTTGTTTTAGGAGGGGCCTTGCATTGTCTTGATCTCCAGTTTGTGTGTGTGGTGGAGTTTTGTTTTGTTTTTTGTTCAGTACCTTCTTTCAGACAAGGGGGGTTTGTTGCCGCCTCGGCTTCTGTAGCTGATGTATTAAATCAGGAGCTTACAGGGGAGAGGATGCTGGCTGGTTCTCCTCTGTGGTGTGTGGCTCACTGGTCCTTCTCCTTCAGGAAATGGTTGTGCAAGTGGGTCTGGTCGTGCACGTTTACCGTCCCCTGTAAACCCTGAAGCCATTCCTCCCTCCTTTACCAAGATGCTCCTGGGTGGTTTGGGGTCAAGGGCCAACATCCTCAGTATCCAGCCCAGGGTTGTCCTGATACACACCCCATGGAGTTTTTAAAAGAAAAAGAGCAACTGTAATGCTTTTGTTCTTATTTTCTTAGCTTCTAGGGACCTATTAAAAGAGTTCCCACAGCCCAAAAACCTTCTCAACAGTGTAATTGGAAGAGCCCTCGGCATCTCACATGCAAAAGACAAACTGGTCTACGTGCACACGAATGGACCGAAGAAAAAGGTAAAACTGACTGGTGGCTGGGAGACATGTTGGTGTGACTCTCAGGAAAGAGGCTGGCTGCCCTTTTCTCCCTCAGGTTTCTTTGTCAGGGAAGCCCATAAAGTGGGTTTCGTGATTTGAAAATGGCCAGCAGAGACTCTCAAAGCTAGGTCTAAAAAAGAGCCTGATTTAGAGAAAGGGAACACAGGGGAGATAAGGTGAGGAGTTCCCATCTTGGGTATGACCGGCCTCTGCGCTGACCCCCGGTTCTGGTTCCTGTTGAATAACTGGGACTGCAGAGGGTCAGAGTTGATAAAAATTCCTGTTCCTAGAGTCTCGTAGGTCCTGGGACCCACAGAAGCATGCAGGCAGACCATTCTGAATGAAGATTTTTAATAATAAAGATGGGTTCCACCTTGCTCTCTGGCTAGAACATGGCACTTTGAAGAAGCAAAACAACTTGAGGTGGGATGAACGGCTTGAGGGTGGGCTGGTTAGAGCCTCACGGGGCTTAGCCGTGGGCATGGGAGTGCTGCCTGCACTCGGCTCTGCTGCCATCAGGCCTACAGCAGCCCCGTGTGACGTGCGGCAGCTCTGCAGTCTGGGAAGGCCACGGTCCTGATTCTCTCTTCTCTTCCCCAGAAAGTCACCCTCCACATCAAGTGGCCCAAGAGCGTGGAGGTCGAAGGCTACGGCAGCAAGAAGATCGACGCCGAGCGGCAGGCGGCAGCAGCGGCCTGCCAGCTCTTCAAGGTGACCCTCCCCTGGCGAGAGAGCCGGGCCACCCTCCATCCTGGGAAGGTCCTCGCCCCAGGCTCTGATGGGCTTTCTGGTACCAGGTGCCTCTCGGTGGAGGTTGACGGGTGTTCACTCACTCCCCTGTCCTTCCCACCTCGTGCTGCTTCTCTTGCTGTGCAGCCAACAAGGGAATACTTGGCTGTTTGGGCTTGGTTTGGTTTTTTGCCACTGTAGTTTTCTACCGTCTGTGGTTTCAGAAAACACGGAGGAGAAAAATGCGCCCTTCGTGCGGCACCGTGGCTACACTTCCATTTTGGTTTCGGTTTTTCTTCTCCTGTGATTTCCCATGGGTTTTCCGTGCACCCACACAGTTGTCTGTTCCTTGTAACGGACGCACGGGCGTTGCTTCTGTCACTCCCCAGCGGTTGGGCACGGGCTGCTTTCAGGTTCTTGGTTACCCAGTAGTTAACGAGCCCTTCGGTGCTGCTCACCAGCCTTTCTGTCAATCCCTAATTGGCTCCCTTTGTGGCTGCGCCAACCTTGAATCTTGCTCAGACTTCTCGGTCTTTATTTCTGCTCCAATGGGGACAAAGCTGTAGGGCGGGTATTCCTTCAGATTCTCTCCCACTGAATCCCCAGGCCTTCACTGTCCCCGCCTGCTCCCTGCATCTGAGGAGGGAGGGCCCTCTTCCTTGCCGGGGCCCCACGCCCCCTTCTCGTCTCTGTCCCCTTTCTGTGTCAGTAGTGCCGAGGCTGAGAGATTCTCTGCATGTTTGAAGGTGGCCTGTCTGCAGCATTCATGGTGACGTTCCTCCCTGCCCTTTCTCTGTCTCTATCTCCGCTCTGCTCATAGCCTCTCGTTTGTTTGTATGTTTGTTGAATTGTGGTTAAGTTACACAAAATATAAAATTTACCATCTTAACCACTTTTCAGCAGTTGAATAGTATTAAGCATAGCATTAAGCATTGTGCAGCCAGTCTCCAGAACTTTTTCACCTTGCAAAACTGAAACACCATACACAGTAAACAGCAGATCCCCTACCCCTTCCCCTCAACCCCCAGCAGCCGCCATTCTACTGCCTCTTTCTATGAATTTGCCTCAGGGATTTCATCTCCTCATAGAAGTGGAGTCAAACAGTATCTGTCTCTTTGTGGCTCGCCTATCGTACTTAGCGTAGTGTCCTCAAGGTCCGTTCCCGTGGCTCGCGTCAGAACCTCCCTCCTCCTCAAAGCCGAGGAGCACTCCGTGGTATGTGTGTGCTCCATCGTGCACTGGTGGGCACTTTGGTGGTTTCCACCTCTGGCTCTTGTGAATAAGGCTGCTGTGAACACGAGTGTACAGACACTCTCTTTGGGACACTGCTTTCAGTTCCCAGAAATGGAATTGTTGGATCGTACGGTAGTTCTGTTCTCAGCTTTTTTTTTTTAAAGATTTTATTTATTTATTTGACAGAGAGAGACACAGCGAGAGAGGGAACACAAGCAGGGGGAGTGGGAGAGGGAGAAGCAGGCTTCCGGCGGAGCAGGGAGCCCGATGTGGGGCTCGATCCCAGGACTCTGGGATCATGACCTGAGCCGAAGGCAGACGCTTAACGACTGAGCCACCCAGGCGCCCCTCTCTGGATTTTTTTTTTTTTTTAAAGATTTTATTTATTTATTCATGAGAGACAGAGAGAGAGACAGAGGCAGAGGGAGAAGCAGGCTCCCCGTGGAGCAGGGAGCCCGATGCGGGACTCGATCCCAGGACTCTGGGATCATGACCTGAGCCGAAGGCAGACGCTTAACGACTGAGCCACCCAGGCGCCCCTCTGTTCTCAGCTTTTTTAAGGAATCGCCATACTTCTTCCACGGGGGGCTGCACTGTTTCACATTCCTACCACCGGGGCACAGTCTCGCTACATCTGTACCAGCGCTCTGGGTGGTGGTTTTTAGTAGCTGTCCTCGTGGGTGTGAGGTGGGATCTCTTGGTTTTGATTGGCATTTCCCTAATGGGTACTGTTGTTGAGCATCTTTTTCTCTCTCTTTTTTTTTAAGGTAAATTCTTCAATTTGTGTTAACTGCACAGTGTTTTCTCAGTATGTAAGATATCACACCCTGATGGTAGATCTTGTATAGAGTAGCTGCAGAGGACAGAATGCAACAGAAGACAGTGTTTGCTTTTCACATCCCCAGTCCTTGTCTCTGACTGCCAGGAGGAGGTGGTTCTGTCAACTCTTCACAGCTCCCAGAAGCATCTTCTCTCCGTGTCCTTCTGTTGTCTTCCCCTTAGGAAACTCATAGCTACAGATCACAGGGAGCTGCTTTAGAGCCAAATGAAATCTCCTTCCGGGTTGGTGGGGGGGAAGGGACTGCTTTCATAAACTCTTCTTTTTGACCTGATGGAGTTGAAAATGTGGCAGAAGCTCTAAAGCACATTAAACCAAGCCGACTATGAATTTGTGGAAGATGAAGTTCCGTAGTCACATACGGTAATTGGTTCTTTGGGGGGGAAAAAGGTTTTTTTGCCCCAAATGTACCTAAATCAGGTGGGAGTGGATTTTGAGGATTTGTGCCCCTATGTATCATTTTGTGCCATGCTGCAAAGAGCTCTAAGTTTTTTGTTTGTTTGTTTTTTTTAAAGATTTTATTTATTTATTTGATAGACACAGCGAGAGAGGGAACACAAGCAGGGGGAATGGGGGAGGGAGAAGCAGGCTTCCCGCCGAGCAGGGAACCCGATGTGGGGCTCGATCCCAGGACCCCGGGACCATGACCTGAGCCAAAGGCAGACACTTAATGACTGAGCCGCCCAGGCGCCCCAAAGAGCTCTAAGTTTTGAGACTGCATTTGCATCTTGTGCTTCTTCCATCTGTGTCTCTTTGGAGAAATGTCTGAAGTTCTTTGCCTGTTGTTTAATCGGATGGATGTTTTTGTTGTTACGGGAGTCCTTTGTTCACATGGGAGTTCGCAGCCTTTTTATTCCCCAACGTTGGCACTCACCGTTCCGCAGCTCCTTCCTTTCCCCTTCCGAACCAGAGTGTTTATTAAGCGTTGCCCTGCTGCTCGGTGCCTGTTGCCAGCAGCACGGGGTTACTGAGTGTGCTCTTGTCAAATGCCCGAGCAGCTTAGCCAGACTTGGATTGGAATTATGTTATTTATGTTCATCTGGCTTCTCAGTGTGTGGTTCCTTAGACCCTAGTCACCTGCATTTCTCTTCTGCCTTGTGGATTCGGGAGTTTCTTGCAGGCAGGGACCAGGTCCCGTCTTTCCTGATGATGCTCAGGGTAGCCAGAATGTTGCTTTATGCGTGCTAGAGACTCAGCAAGTTTTATTTGGTATTCTGTCTAGAAGAGAATGAAGCTGTAATACATTTTAAAATAATATATTTTGTATGAATGGCTTTATAAGCATCCCAGGTTATTTCTAGAATATGTTCTCAGCATAGGATTCTTAGGTCAGACCAGAGATAGATCTGTTTTGTGAGGTGGGCTCCATTTCTCTTAACTGCTGTATTCACCAAAGCCTTCTAGATCACTTTGTGAATGTATCAGCTTTTCCATTGCCTGTGGGGTTTGGGGTTTTTTTTCCCCCCAGTTTTTTTGTCTAATAGATGTAAGAGTTTACCTTGTCATTTTCATGTGTCAGAGCTAGACATCTTACATGCCCTCTTGATGCCCAGTTGTGGCTTGGGGGCTGAGGCAGGCGGACGGGTGCAAAGGTATGACTCATGCCTAGGGGACTTAACAGTGTAAGGGGGCAGGTTCTGGGCAGACTGAGGCACGAGGATGGGCCCTCACAACATTCCTCTCCCCCCCCCCCAGGGCTGGGGCCTGCTGGGTCCCCGAAATGAGCTGTTTGATGCAGCCAAATACCGCGTGCTAGCTGATCGCTTTGGCTCTCCGGCTGACAGCTGGTGGCGCCCAGAACCCACCATGCCACCTACTTCCTGGCGGCAGCTGAACCCTGAGAGCATCCGGCCGGGGGGACCTGGGGGCCTGTCCCGCTCCTTGGGCCGGGAAGAAGAGGAGGATGAGGAAGAAGAGCTGGAAGAGGGGACCATTGATGTCACCGACTTCCTGTCCATGACCCAGCAGGACTCCCACACCCCACTCAGGGACTCGAGGTACAGCTGGATGTGGGGGATGCAGGGAAGCTGGCTGCACCTTGACATGGGGATGGGTGATGTTCCCTGGGAGTCTTCTCTAAAATGGGAGGGTCCCTGCCCTGCGTCTCTGCCTGTGTGTCCCGTTATTCATATCGGCACGTCTGCCGTTCTGCTGTGTGGCTGGGCTTCTGCAAAACAACAGCAGGGACCCTCCCTCCGGGTCACACTTGGGTCCCTCCGAGGCCCAGCCACTACTCTGCCTGCCCCTGGGCCCCTGCCCCCTGCCCTCAGTTATCTGTTTGGGGAAACTGAGGGAGCGTCAGTCATGCTGTGTGTCTGAGAAGATCAGGGGCCACGCGAAGATGCCAGGCCTGCTGTTTTTTCCATACCTCCTGCTGCCCCCCTGCAGTGTCCTAGCCCCCCTGGGCCTCAGAGCCTGAGGTGAAATGGGCGCAGGAAGAGATAGAGCTTTTTCACCTGAACTTTTGGTCCTCCCAGGGGGGGTTCCTTTGAAATGACAGACGACGACAGTGCTATCAGGGCCCTGACCCAGTTTCCGCTTCCCAAGAACCTTCTGGCCAAAGTGATTCAGATAGCAACATCGTCCTCCACAGCTAAGGTGAGTCGGGTCTCCTAGAAGTGCGTGTGGGTGGGGAGCTGGCTTGGTTGTGTCTGCTCGTCCCTGGGACCAGGTAGGAGGGAAGCTGGGAAGGCCGAGGTTACCTGTACCCTCAGCCCGCACCTAAGCCAGTCGGGGGGGCTCGGGGTCCTTGCACTGTGAAGGGGGTGAAGCAGCCAGGAGTCAATGGAAGTTGGTGTGGGAGTTTGGGGGTCGGGCTGGCGCCATGGGAGCGGGAGACCCGAGTTTGGTCCGGGGTGGCTGGCAGGGGTGGGGTCGGGGTGGCGCTCTCTGGCTGAGGTTGAATTTCATCTCTGTGGCTGGGCTCAGGGCTTCGGTCGGCACAGCTCCTCCCCAGGGGGTAAGGCCTTCATGCACCCCCAGAATGTGCCTGGTTCTGGCTCAGGCTGACAGGTTCGACCCACAGCTGCCACCATGCCTGTTTGCTTTGAAGGTGCCGAGAGCACCGTGGGCTAGGAGGGCAGGTGGAGGCACTGCCCAGACACTGACTTCGGGCGTGAAACCACGGGACAGCCGGAGCCAGCCCTGGGAGCTGCGGCCCTGTCGGGGCTTGCTTCTGCTGCCCAGTGGCTCGTCTTGTGTGGCCGATGTTTGGCACCTGCTGTGATGGGGGTTAATTCCATCTCTGGGTTCCTTGGCATCCTGAGAACCGCATTCTCTGCCTTTCTATAGCCATTTCTCTTGCCTTCCGTGTAGAACCTCATGCAGTTCCATACTGTGGGCACCAAGACCAAGCTGTCCACCCTCACTCTGCTCTGGCCCTGTCCCATGACCTTTGTCGCCAAAGGGCGCCGCAAAGCAGAGGCTGAGAATAAGGCGGCAGCCTTGGCCTGCAAGAAACTGAAGGTGAGTCGGGCGGGTCCCTTGGCTGATGTGTCAGAGGCTTGGAGCTCCCCTACCCTTGGCGGATTGGTCCCGTTCTCCAGGAAACAAAATCCACCACCCCGGGCCTTTGGCCCGAGCACAGAAGCATCTGGGGCCCGAGCCTTGCTCGTCCGGCTGTGGCTGCTGCCTTCCGGAGGCCCTCACGCTCGCTGCGAAGGTGCTTTGCCTGTGGGCTCAGCCTTTTCTGGGGTGTTGCCGGCGCCCAGCTGAAGCCCGGAGGGGACACGCCTGTTTTTCTGAATGGCACAAAGCTGGGGGAACGGTGCCTGTGCTGAGTGGCAGACTTGGTGTCTAGAAAGATCTGAATTACCTGGGCTTTGTGGGCAAAATGGATCCTAAGGCGTTACCTGGGATGGAGATCGAAGATTCCGTGAAGTCCAAGGTGAGGCAGTTCCTGTGAAGAGGCTGCGGAGGCCAGCTGTGCCTCACGGTGGGAAGCCAGCAGAGCCGTGACTGCCCGAGAAGGGGGTGATCTGAACCCCATCGGCACAGGCTTAGTGTGCAGAGCAAGAGAGCGAGGAGGCCCTGCCCTCTGCTCTGGTCAGACATGCCTTTGGTGTGCGTTCGGCTCTGGGAACCCCATTTTAGACCCAGCTGATGGTGAGAGGTAGCGAGAGCCTGGAGAATGGAGGAGGGATCGGGGCGCCTGGAGGTGCAGTCGGTTAAGCATCCGACTCTTGGTTTCAGCTCAGGTCGTGATCTCGGTGCTGGGATCGAGGCCCGGTGCTGGGATCGAGGCCCGGTGCTTGGGCTCTGCGCTCAGCAGGGAGTCTGCTCGTGGGTTCTCCCTCTGCCCCTCCCCCCGCGTGCATGTGGGTGCGCTCTCGCTCAAATAAACCAGCGAGTGACTGAATGAATCAATTAGTAAAATCTTAAAGAAGAAGAGGGAGAGGTACAGGAACCTGTGGCTCCAGAGGGCAGAACTGGGGCTAATGGACGGCACCTGGCGGAAGTCTGTCTTTCAGCCGGATGGCCACGGGCACGGGTGATTGGGAGCCTCGCAGCGCGGGCCAGCCGTGTCGTGGGGAGGAGCCAGCTCCCAGGTGGCAGCGGCGCGGAGACAGCCCCGGGCTGGCCGCTGCTCCGAGGCCACAGGGAAACCCCCAGGCCTGGGAGAGGTGGAAGCCTCTCTGGGGGCAAGGTGTCTGTGTGGGCGCCTCCGTGGCCCAGGGACTAGATGCTTGTGCTTGAGGTCCGTCATGAGAGTGGAGGGGGCGAGCCCCCATGGGGACAGTGTTCCTGAAGGGGGGGGGGAGTCCTGATAGCACAGGGGACAGGCACACAGGACTAGGGAAGGACGACCAGTTTTGCACGCCTGTCGGAGGTGCTGGGATGCCGTGGGTTAGGTCTAGGGAGGGAAGCAAGACGCGGTGTTTATCGAGTCGTGTGAATAGACACTTCTAGGAAAGTCCACCTGTGTTCGTATGATGGGGTCACAGGTGGAACGGGTGCCATGTGGACCAGAAAGGTTGCGGGGGGAAGGGGGTGTGCTTTGGAGGTAGTGAAAATGGGTGCTGTGGGGCTGTGATGGGGTCAATGAGAGCCTGGCCCTCCTGGCTTAGCGGTCCGTGCTGGGAACTCGTAGAGGCGAGATTGGGCTGTTGTGGGGGCCCCCGCTGCTCAAGGAGAGGTTTCTGAGGGGCATTCCTCTTGGACATGTCAGGGCTTGTTTTTCTTGGAATGATTTTAACTAGTTAAATTTTGGGACGGGTGGAGATTTGCATTTTCCAGGTTCCTAATTACTCTTCTGTACAATGTCTGCTAAAAACCAAAATCTCTTAGAGAAGCAGTTGCTCTGTGTGATCTCTCTCAAGCTCCTGAGCCTGTTTGCGCTGGTTCTGGGGAGGCAGGGCCCCAGAGCGAGCTGTGCTTGTCCCCGCTGCAGAGCCTGGGCCTGGTGGACCGCAACAATGAGCCGCTTACCCACGCCATGTATAACCTGGCCTCCTTGCGTGAGCTGGGTGAGACGCAGCGCCGGCCGTGCACCATCCAGGTGCCTGAGCCCATCCTCCGAAAGATAGAGACCTTCCTGAACCATGTAAGAGAGCCGAGAGCGCCGCCCCACCCCCGCCCCCTGCCCGCCTCCAGCTTCTCCTGACGGAAAGGCTCCACGTGTGCCGCAGGCGCGCTACCTGCCCGTTGTCCCCGCTGAGGCCGGAGCCCGGGAGCACCCTTGCCCCGAGCAGCCCTGTCTTGCCCGAGAACGTCCTCGGGCAGTCGTGCACGGAGTCCCCCACCAGCGGGCCGGGCCTCGGTGTCCGGCCCCGGTGAACCGTGTGGAGGGTATCGCGAGTGAATGAGGAAAAGGGTGTCGGTCTTTCACCGTTGTGCTTGCTTCTCCCATCCCTCAGTACCCTGTGGACAGTTCCTGGATCTCCCCGGAGCTCCGGCTGCAGAGTGAGGACATCTTGCCCTTGGGCAAGGACTCAGGGCCCCTGAGTGACCCTATCACAGGCAAGCCCTACGTGCCCCTGTCAGAAGCAGAGGAGGTACGTCTGAGCCAGAACTTGCTGGAGCTGTGGCGGCGGCGAGGGCCAGTCTGGCAGGAGGCCCCCCAGCTCCCCGTGGACCCGCATCGGGACACCATCCTCAATGCCATCGAGCAGCACCCGGTGGTGGTCATCTCTGGGGACACGGGCTGCGGCAAGACCACGCGCATCCCCCAGCTGCTGCTGGAGCGCTACGTGACCGAGGGCCGCGGCGCCCGCTGCAATGTGATCATCACCCAGCCGCGCCGCATCTCCGCCGTGTCTGTGGCACAGCGGGTCAGCCACGAACTGGGCCCCTCTCTGCGCCGGAACGTGGGCTTCCAGGTGCGGTTGGAAAGCAAGCCCCCGGCCCGCGGTGGGGCCCTGCTCTTCTGCACCGTGGGCATCCTGCTGCGGAAGCTGCAGAGCAACCCCAGCCTGGAGGGCGTGAGCCATGTCATCGTGGACGAGGTCCACGAGCGGGACGTGAACACAGACTTCCTGCTGATTCTGCTCAAGGGCCTGCAGCGGCTCAACCCGGCCCTGCGGCTAGTGCTGATGAGCGCCACGGGCGATAACGAGCGCTTCTCCCGCTACTTTGGCGGCTGCCCGGTCATCAAGGTGCCGGGCTTCATGTACCCGGTCAAGGAGCACTACCTGGAGGACATCCTGGCCAAGCTGGGCAAGCACCAGTACCCGCACCGGCACCGGCACCACGAGGTGAGGGGACCTGCCCGCCCCTGCCCGCCCCAGCCTTTGCCCTGGCTTCCCCGCCTGCCTGTCCCTGTGGCGCCGTGGCCGAGGGCAAGGCCGTGCTCCCAAGTCTCGGTGTCCTTGCTAGAAACAGAACGATCAGGGCTTCTGGGTGAGAGGGCGGTGAGGGTTGGGGGTGACTGTTCAGTGCCTTGGCCTCGCCGAGTCACAGAGTGGCTGCGTCCTTCCCCGGGGGCTGTGACTGTGGCCTCTCCCCCCACCCCCCTGCCCCCAGTCTGAGGATGAGTGTGCACTCGATTTGGACCTCGTGACGGATCTGGTTCTGCACATCGATGCCCGAGGGGAGCCAGGTGGGTGCTTTCCCCCCCGCCCCCGTGCCCACCCTGCCCTCCAGCTGCCGAGAGTGACGGCTCATGCCTGCAGGGCCCCTTTACAGGTGGGATCCTCTGCTTCCTGCCTGGTTGGCAGGAGATCAAAGGAGTGCAGCAACGCCTCCAGGAGGCCCTGGGCATGCACGAGAGCAAGTACCTCATCCTGCCAGGTGAGAGCGGGTGAGCGAGGCGCGATTGCCCCCAGACGCCAGTCTGGCCCTCTGGCCTAGGGACTCCCACCCAGCTGGGACTCGGGGCTGGATTTCTGACCAGGCTGCCCTGCTCTGGTTGGCTTTTCCACCTTGACTGGGCATACACGTATCCTTGATCTGGGCCTCTGTTTCATCAAAATGGGGTCAAAGTCCTTGCCCTGTACCCTCATCACAGGGAGCAGGAGCAGTACCCATAACCAGCGTGTTCTTGCTGCCCACCAGTGCACTCCAACATCCCCATGATGGACCAGAAGGCCATATTCCAGCAGCCGCCAGTTGGGGTGCGCAAGATTGTCTTGGCCACCAATATCGCGGAGACGTCGATTACAGTCAATGACATCGTGCACGTGGTGGACAGCGGTCTGCACAAGGAGGAACGCTATGACCTGAAGACCAAGGTGGCACCCGTCTCCCGGGCCCAGCCAGCCCCTGGGGGAAGAACTACAAGTTCCGAGGTGGCCCCCAGCCCCGATCAGCCTTGGACTTGCCGCTGTGTCGTGTGTCCGGAGAAGGCCACACTCGTGGGCTGTCGGTGTCCCTGTTGTGGGGGGGCCGTTGAGGGGTTAAGTGAGGTGAAGGCCAGACGAGGGGCAGCACTGAGGAAGGCCTGCTGGCCTCTGCGTCGCTGCTCACCTGCCCCCTCCCCCAGGTGTCGTGCCTGGAGACTGTGTGGGTGTCACGAGCCAATGTGATCCAGCGCCGGGGCCGGGCGGGCCGCTGCCAGTCAGGCTTTGCCTACCACCTGTTCCCGCGGAGCCGGCTGGAGAAAATGGTCCCTTTCCAAGTGCCGGAGATTCTGCGCACGCCCCTCGAGAACCTGGTGCTACAAGCCAAAATCCACATGCCTGAGAAGACGGTGCGCCAGAGGCGGGGCCGGGCCGGGGCTGGACTTGGTGAGGGAAGGTGGGAGGTGGGGCTCATGGCGGGCTCTGGCTGCTTCTCGCTGTAGGCAGTGGAGTTCCTTTCCAAGGCCGTGGACAGTCCAAACATTAAGGCGGTGGACGAGGCTGTGATCTTGCTCCAGGAGATCGGTGAGTGGGGCCGGGCCGGGCCGCGCCGCGCCGCAGCGTGGCGCTCAAGGGCGAGTCTGACCGCTGAGCTGTTGCAGGAGTGCTGGACCAGCGGGAGTACCTGACCACCCTGGGGCAGCGCCTGGCCCACATCTCCACCGACCCCCGGCTGGCCAAGGCCATAGTGCTGGCCGCCATCTTCCGCTGCCTGCACCCGCTGCTGGTGGTCGTCTCCTGTCTCACCCGGGACCCCTTCAGCAGTAGCCTGCAGAACCGGGCGGAGGTGGACAAGGTCAGCCCTCGCCCCTCCCCCACCCCCTGTCCGGAAAGCCGCTGCAGCCGGCCCTCACCCTGTGGCCTCGGCGCCCCCTTCCGCTCCCTCCCAGGTGAAGGCACTGTTGAGCCACGACAGTGGCAGTGACCACCTGGCCTTCGTGCGGGCCGTGGCGGGCTGGGAGGAGGTGCTGCGCTGGCAGGACCGCAGCTCCCGTGAGAACTATCTGGAGGAAAACCTGCTCTACGCCCCCAGCCTGCGCTTCATCCACGGTCAGTGGCCCCCCCGTCCCCCCCGCCCAACTGGCCCAGGGCGCGGGCTTGGGGTTCCCCGACCTTGTGGCTCAGGGGGCCGCAGGCTCAGCCCGCCCTCCCCTCCCCAGGACTCATCAAGCAGTTCTCGGAGAACATTTACGAGGCTTTCCTGGTGGGGAAGCCCTCCGACTGCACCCTGGCCTCTGCCCAGTGCAACGAGTACAGCGAGGAGGAGGAGCTGGTGAAGGGTGTGCTGATGGCGGGCCTCTACCCCAACCTCATCCAGGTGCCATCTCTGGGAAGGGTCCGGTGGGCCCCAGCCTCCTCCACCACCCCGGGCTCCTCGCTCAGCCCGCCCCTCTCTCCTTTGATCCTCGCAGGTGAGGCAGGGCAAGGTGACCCGGCAGGGCAAGTTCAAGCCCAACAGTGTCACTTACAGGACCAAATCAGGCAACATCTTGCTGCACAAGTCGACCATTAACAGGTGGGAGGCAGGCAGGGCCGGGGCCGGGTGGCTGGCGGGGGCCCGAACGGTGGGCTCACGCCCGCGCTCTGTTCTGTAGGGAGGCCACGCGGCTGCGGAGCCGATGGCTGACGTATTTCATGGCTGTCAAGTCCAACGGCAGCGTCTTCGTGCGGGACTCCTCCCAGGTGCACCCGCTAGCCGTGCTGCTGCTGACCGACGGGGACGTGCACATCCGGGGTGGGTACTGGCCGCCCCTCCCGCCCCGCTGCGGCTTGGGCTGCTCTGTGGCCCCTGGGGGGGGGGGGAGCCCGGTCTCACCTCGCCTCTGCGCCGCCTCCCCCCCCCCCCAGACGATGGGCGCCGAGCCACCATCTCCCTGAGCGACAGTGACCTGCTGCGGCTGGAGGGGGACTCGCGCACTGTGCGGCTGCTGCGGGAGCTGCGCCGGGCGCTGGGCCGCATGGTGGAGCGGAGCCTGCGCAGCGAGCTGGCCGCGCTGCCGCCGGGCGTGCAGCAGGAGCACGGGCAGCTGCTGGCGCTGCTGGCCGAGCTGCTGCGGGGGCCCTGTGGCAGCTTCGACGTGCGCAAGACGGCGGACGACTGAGCCCCCGTCTGCTGGGGCCATGTACAGAGTGCAAATGTTTATTTAAAATAAAGTTCTATTTATCCCTTGTGAGCATCGCTGTCCGCGGGGGGGCTCCTCTCTCGGGGCCGCAGCACCCACACTCCTGCTTTGCGCAGGGCCCCCCCCCCCCCCGTGCCCCCGGTCCCTGTCCCCTCAGGCCGGGCCGGCGGGCACGGAGCACGCACTCGCCCAGGCCTCCCTCGCGCTCCGCGCCTCGCCCCGAGCAGAATCGGGGAGCAGTTCCCCAGGCAGCCAAGGCCACTTGAACCCTAACCTTCGAGGGGCCTTGGGTTGCGTAGCAGCCCTTCCGTGAGCTGGGACTTCGGTCACATCCACAGTGCACAGATGAGGGGCTAAGGTCATCCAGACTGCACGGTGCACGGCAGCCCCTTGATGCCAGGGGACGAGCTGGGGGGGCAGCGAGGTCGGGGATGCTGGCGGTGGACCCCGGCCAGACCGCACGAAGTACAGAAGAGACCGCCTGTGTGGTGGGCCAGCACGAGCTTTATTCACTCTTGCAATCGGTACAACAGAACCACAGATTGACACAGGCAGTGGCTGAGCCAGAAGCAAACTGGAGGTTCAGAGACGCACCTCCACACGGCTGCAGGTGGTCCCTCGCTGTGAGGGCGCCTTCTCTGCTTCTCGGGCTTGGGGGACACTTCAAGGGAGCTGGGACCACTCCAGCCCACCTACAGCGTTCTCCACGAGGGTCACCTCTCCCACCCCTACCCTTGGACCGGTTGTCCACCTCCGCACGTGCGTGGCCCCGGGACTCACACAAGGAGGGCATCGGCACCTTCAGGCCCTGCACCGTCTACCGCTTCCTCCCCAGCTTCCTCCTGCCCCTTCCTCCTGCCGACAAAACACGGGTGCCCCGATGTCCCTGGCACACGGCGTTCTGCAGTCCTCGGTGCGGGGAAGACCCCTGCAGTCTGCGCTCGGGGAGCCGCGGATGTGGGGTCCCACCTCCCCGAGAGAAATGCTACCTCAGAAGTGGGAGAACCTGCCGGCCCAGATGCCTTCCCTCTACACGGAGGTCCGATCTGAACCTAAGTCAAGAACCCCTACCTTCTGGGCTCCAGGAAGGGGGGCAGCATGAGCAGCGGCGGGGCGGGCGGGGAGGGCGAGGGGCCGAGTGCCGGCCTCCTCGGGGGCAAGTCTGCACTGCAGGAAATGCTCGTCCAGAGGAGATGCCCTCGGAGACTCCCGGGCCATTTCACTACAAACTGTTACATTTTAATCCTTTATTAGAAACCATGCAAACTTTAATAAAAAAAAAAATACAAGTGCAATAAGAATCTTCGTGTCAATACAATTCCCGGGATTTCTCATCATCGCAGCCACCCCAAGACCGGGCCTAGCTGGGACACCCCTCCACAGGCCGGCCTCACCTCTCCCCCCTCCCCAGTCAGGCTGTAGTGGGGGTGGAGATGGCCTGTCTCATGCCTTTTTAAAATTTCCACACCTGATTCCCCATCACCCACGTGAGTTCTGGACATCTTGGGCTCCCTGGTAACTGAGGGCTCTGGTGTCCTAGGCCTGTGAGTCTGGAGGATTTTGACCTCCATAGCCCTTCCCTGTTTCTCCAGCCCCAAACTTGTATCTCCCACTAGATCCCAGGGAATGAGACAGAGATGCCAAAACCAGCCTCTTGGTTAGAAAAGAAAAGCAGCATACACACAAAATACCAGAACCACCAGTCCACACCGACCAGCCCCTAGTATGCCCTACCTGCCCACCAGGCCACAGCCCCTGCGTCTCACCTGCCCTGCCCACACCTTCTCCGGGGCCCCAAGCTGCCCAGGTCAGGGCAGCCCCTGATGCCTGACCTCCTGGCTGGAGGCTTAAGGATCTCCCCTCCCTGTTTCCTTTAACACCTACTGAGGACTTTCATTTAGACATGGCTTCAACCTGCGAAACTCCTCTACCAGTTTTTAGGTTATTTAAAAAAAAAAAAAAAAAAAAAGGGATAAAACAAGAAAAGAGTGTGACAGCAGCTAGGCAGGTATGGGAAGCAGTGGGGACAGTATAAGCCGACCCCTAACTAACTTGGGGCAGGGCAGCAAGATGCGCCTGGCCCCACCTGCACGGTGGGCACCACGGAGGGGTCAAAGGGAGAGGCAGTGGCCTAGCGGGCTCCGGGGGAGGCAATCAGCATCCTGCCACCGCGCGGCCACTCTTCTCTTCAGGTGGACCCAGCGAGGAGGGCAGTTATGTCAGTTTCTCTTGGGTTTGGTCCAAAAAACCCAAAGAGGAGGTTGGAATCTGGCTCCCCACCCCCCACCCCCAGATCCCACAAGATCCCAAGTTGGCCTCTCCACCCCATTCACCTCCCAACCTCGTCTGCGGAGCGGTGCGCAATGATGGGACAGGAACAAAGCAAGGAGCGGGGGTGGGGTGGGGGCCAGGGCAGGGAGTAGAGGAGGTTTGGGGGCGGGCCTGCTGCTGCCCTGGGCAAGCAAGGCAGGGGGAACAGGGTGGGGCCTGCAGGACTTGGGGCCTGGGGCCCAGCACCCAAGCCGTGTGGGGTCTAGATTGCAGCCCGGGAGAGGGAGCCAAGGGCCCGGGTGCCTGAGCTGGGGCCGCCAGGGAAGTGGGGGGGGCGGGAGACAATGTCAGCCCCGTGGTCGGTGCGGGCCCTGGCATTTGCCCGGAACGTCAGCCTGTAGGTCTCAATCTGCAGTGACACGGGAGGAGGGAAGGGAGGGGGTAACGAGGGACACAAGAGGGGGAACACAGGGGACGGAAGACGAGACCAGAATGTCATCATTAGATGCCTGGAAAATAAAAGGTTGCTTGGTTAAACTTTAGGCCACACTCTAGTCAAAAAAAGAAAAGGAGTTTCAATTAACAGCCAGTGGCAGGGCCCCCGGGCGGCCCTCAGGCCAAGCCCAGCCACTTACTTGTCTCCTGGATCTGGCTGTCCAAGGTCTGGGCCTCCCTTTGGTCACCACCCCCTGCCAGGGTGGTGTTGCCACTGAGGCCACTGGCTGAAGTGGGGGCGCCAGCTTCGGGCGCTGCCTCAGGGATGGCCGGCTCCTCCCCCGCGGGGGGGCCCGGACACGGAGGGGCCTCGCTGCCACCGCCCTCAGTCTACAATGAAACAGTGGGGGAGACAGTGCAGGGTCAGTCGGGGAGGAGGTGGGATGGGTGATGGTGGTGGGTTTTACACATAGCCCCCTGCCCCCCACTGACTACCGTACGGTCGCCCGAAGAACCTAGGCCAGGCACTCCCCTCTGCACCCCTGCCCGGAGGCGACTGCTGGCCCAGGAGCCGGCGAGTGCAGCCCTAGGCCCAGCGTGCGGCCGAGCTGGACCACACTCTGGGAGACTCCTCTGGGAAGGGCAAGGCTGCCGCAAGTCTTTCTGAGGGGAGAGGAGAGATGCGCCGGCTTCTCAGCAAGGCTGGCACCAGGCAGCTAGCCGTGACGGCGGTCGCCAGCAGAAACCCTGGGCACGACCGCTAGAGCGTGGCTCTGGGAGCGGCTGGGAGGCAGGGGTGCTGCAGGCCAGCTAGGGAGCTCTGGGAGCCCGAAGGCACTTAGGAGGGGTGCAGCCCGCCACCTCCGACCCAGCGAATCCCAGACTGCTCCCGCCACAGAGGGGGCAGCCCTGCCTGCTCATCTAGCCACCTCCAGACACTGAGGCCTCTTCTGCGCTGGGCGCCCTCCTGGAGCCTGGGGACCACAGGGAAGGGGTGTCCAAAGTGTGACCCAGGGAAACTTTGGGGGCCTGCAGGGCTTCCCAGGAGGCGGATGGGGTGGGCAGTGAGCACCTGGTGTGAGTAAAGCAGAAGAGGGAAGGCCGGGGCAGGGGGAGCTGGAACCCCTGGGCCCCAGAATGCCCAAAAGGTGACAACGGAGACTCCACAGTGGTTTCTAATCAGATTAGTGAAGGAGACAGGCCTCTGTATTAGAAAAACAATTCCAGAAATAATAAAGGGAGATGATGTGAATAAAGAAAAGAACGCAAAACTTGGGAGTCAGAAGGTCCAGGTGTAAACCCTGGTCGGGTACTTGCCACGTGGCCTCGGACAAGTGATGACACCCGAGCTAATGCCCCACGAGGGCTGACTAGGGAGTGGCTCCTCATAAGGTACAGAGGCATGACTGAGAGCCTGTGACAGAGCCAAGCCCCCAAATATTCATGGAAGCCAGTCAGGCCTTGAATGGGAGCACCGACGGAAGCTGGGACAGAGGCTGGGCCGGGCTGGGCAGACGGAAGGCCCACTGCAGCTGCTCTCTGCCCTCCCCCGTGCTCACCTTGCCCCGAGCCCCTGCACCTATCCTCATGCTTGGAAGCCTGCAGGATGCTGCCCCCACGGGTCCCCCCGCCCCCCAACATGGAACAGAGGATAACAGCATCCTGGCACTTTACAAAGGGTCTCACGGTGCTGTGGAAGGAGGGAGGGAGGGAAGGCACGAGGGAGGGAGGGAAGGCAGGAGAGGCCCAGCCGGACCTGAGCATGGGAAGCCCTGCCCACCTGAGTGCTCTCGCGGAGCCCCAGTCTGGGACGCGCCTGGCATGGAACACGACCCCACATGGCCTCTCGTGAGGGAGCTGGGGACAGCGGTGCCACGCAGACCACCCGCCTTGTGGGGGAGCCGCGCCCCAGCCCGCAGAGCTGAGATGGGCTCAGGAAGGCAGGCGGGCCGCGGCTCCCAGGAGAGGTTCTGTCTCCAGGTAGACAGGGCAGAGGTGGCTGGGCCGGGGCCTCTTTACCTCTCCTGCCTCACTCAGGACTGATGATGAACACGGGGAAAACACACCGGTGTGGGGGAAACAGGACTCCTGACGATACTGAGGGGCGGTGACAGGCGCCCAGCTGCTGGGACCCAGACTCCGGCTGCACCACCCCACCCACCCCTCCCAAGCGGCAGCCCCTGCTGCCCCACTCGCTACCTTCACGGCCCCTCCTGCAGGCAGGTGGCCCACATTATCGAGGGATCCCACTTTCGCCTGGGCCTTCTCCTTGAAGTTCAGCTTCTGACTTTCAATCTTGACATCTCCTCCACCTGGAACCAACAAAACCACCGGTCACACGGGCA